TTAAGCCCCCTCTCTCCAATAAGCCCTCCCTCAAACGTGCCTGAAATAAATAAGCCCCCCGGGGGGCTAAATAGAGTTACGGTATTACAAAATGTAAGGGTTTGAAGCCAAGCCATGGCAATTCTGGAAAAATATCTAATTCTTATCTTGATACGATATCGATTTGAATCGAAGCGGAAAAATCAAATATATTAATTCCACTGTGCCTTGCCACCGAGACGTCCGCAGAGCTGAGGCGTCGTATGRACTTTGCACATGTCGTCAATTAAGGTAGATCTGYCCTTGGGTGTRCGGATTACGCAGGAAAATATTCTAGTCTGAAGACATCAGGGGAGAGACCAGCCGACCCCCAAACCATATCTAAAGCTAATTCCTTGCACCAGGTGTCAGACACGGAATCGTTCGTGAACTCAATGTTTTCTTTTTCGATTTGACAATAATAGAATAAATATAGAGATTTTCTATTATTGCCTCGTCATAGTGTAGCCGATTCCTGTCTATTCCAATTATACTTTGCCCAGCTGTCTCCGAAGGGCACATTAACACCTAGTCTTATTCTCAAGAGAATGACACGTGGTCTGAAATTTCTGGGGGGAAAACTGAACTCTTACAAACCTTTGAAATATTGCAATTTATTGGTTCTTTGTCTTCCTGATGCAACGGTTGCTTTGTATATGTATGACGTTCACTCGTTTTCTTAATTTGTGGCTAAGAAAATGAATCAAGGAATATGATAATTAGTTGATATTCATTAATATTTATACTTATTTCTATTTCTGATTTGGGAGGGTTAAAAACCTTACGACTTTTCTAATAGTGGCAAGGACATAAGGACTTTCATGGGCATCGTTCGCGCGCATCCTTCCTACGCATAAATTTAGATCGCACGCAATTCCAATGTTTTGATAAGTAAAACATCACGAAAACATTTTAAATCTTTTATAGCTTTATATCAAAATTGGGGCCTCTCTTTTTTATTCACCTTGGAGTGGGGAAAAAACTGAAATAGAAAAGAAATTTACATCAGTATTTGAATAAAATTAAGGATTAATTTCACGAGTGATTTCAAAACTTTGAAGAAAGAAAAAAACAATTTAACCATACTATTACCCGTTTATCATATACAAGGCAAAATTAAACGAAAATAAACTATCAGTAGTATAGGGGATGTATGTTTCAATTCACCCCCCACCCCGAAGATCACCCGCGCCAAATAGTCTAGGAGAGGGAATCCCCGCATCAAGTGGTCTACGTTAGTAATCAAATCAAACAGGCTTATGGGGGTTACCCGAGTAAAGTGTCCGTAAATAGTACCGCAGTAATCACTAAATAGTAAAGTT